ATGCACATCCACTAGGATGTTACAATACAAAAGACAGGCAATAAAAAATGTTGGCAAGGGTGTGGAGAAATTATAGCTTTCACACATTGCTAGTGGGATTGTTAAATGGTACAGCCACTTTGGCAAACCCTCTGGCTGTTCCTCAGAAAGTTAAACATTGAGTTACCACATAGTCCAGCAATTTCACCACTAGTTAAATACCCAAGAGAAATGAAAATATATACCCACACAAAAATTTGTACATAAGCATTCACAGCAGTATTAGTCACAATAGTAAAAAAATGGAAACAACCCAAACGTCCATCATAAACCAAAAATAAAATTCTTAGGCCACACAACCATCTGAATGGATTCCTCCTTTCATCCAAATGCATTCCAAAGTTAACCTGAAAAACTAATTCAGACCATGATTGCAAGGGGGACCCAGAAATACCTCATTATACCCTCCTCCCTTTTGGAATTACTGATAGAACAGACTCTAACTCTGATAAGAAACATTCACAATCTATTCTCTCTGAAGTCTGCTACCTGAAGACTTCATCTACATGATAAAACCTTGGTCTCCACAACCCTTTCTCATAACCAAGACATTCCTTTCTATTGAAAATAACTCATTCAACAAATTGCCAATCAGAAAATCTTTAAATCTACATGTAACCTGGAAGTCTCCCACTCCCCTGCTGCTGGTTGTCCTGCCTTTCCAGCCCAAAACAATGTCCATCTTAACATGTATTGATTGATGCCTCATGTCTCCCTAAAATGTATAAAACCAAGCTGTACCCCAAACACCTCTGACACATGTCATCAGGAACTCCTGAGGCTGTGTCACAGATGCATCCTTAACCTTGGCAAAATAAATGTTCTAAGTTGATTGGGACCTCTCACAGATACTTTTGATTTACACCAAATTTGCTCTATCTATGCAATTGAATGTTATTCAGCCATAAAAAAATGAAATACTGATATTTACCACATGATGAACTTTGAAAACTTTCTGCTAAGTAAAAGAACCAGTTCACAATATACCATATATTGTATGCTCCATTTATATGAAACGTCCAACATAGGCAAATCCATGAGATAGAATGTATATTAACTTTTGCCAATATAGACCATCCTCCTCATTAGTTTTTAAAATGGTGTTTGATGGTTGAAGCAGAAACTATTACATCATCTGATGTGATGCTCAATATATGTAGAGGACATACCTAAAACATTTGTATTAAAAGTGAGAAGGGTAAACAGCCCTAAATGGAAGATTTCTACACCTTACTGGAAATGGTTTAAAATGTCCATGCCAGTAGATTGTGATAAGTTAATATGTATATTATAATACCCAGAGTAACCACTAAAGTAACCATAAAAAGACATATATTTTAAAAAAAACAAAAAACACTATAGATAAATCAAAATAGCCCCTTACAAGGGGATGAGGGGAGGGGAGAACGGGGATTCATTGCTAAGGGATACAGAGTTTCTTTTTGTGGAAGAAAAATGTTCTAGGCCGGGCGCGGTGGCTCAAGCCTGTAATCCCAGCACTTTGGGAGGCCGAGACGGGCAGATCACGAGGTCAGGAGATCGAGACCATCCTGGCTAACACGGTGAAACCCTGTCTCTACTAAAAAATACAAAAAACTAGCCGGGTGAGGTGGCGGGCGCCTGTAGTCCCAGCTACTCAGGAGGCTGAGGCAGGAGAATGGCGTGAACCCGGGAGGCGGAGCTTGCAGTGAGCTGAGATCTGGCCACAGCACTCCAGCCTGGGTGACAGAGCGAGACTCCGTCTCAAAAAAAAAAAAAAAAAAAAAAAAAAGAAAAGTGTTCTAAAATGAGATCGTGGTGATGGTTGTACAACTTTGCAAATATCCTAAAAACTGTTGAGTTGCACATTTTTAAAGGATGAATTTTATGATATATAAATTATATCTCAAAAAAAGCTGTTAAAAATAAATACTAGTAAATAAATAAGCATATTCTAATCTCATTCTTTCTGAAGCCAAACATCTATATAGAAAAATAAAACAAAACTGGTACCCCACATATGTAGTATAGAGTCCCATTGCAGGTGCCTCATTTTAAGAGAAACATTGATAAAATGGCATATTTCCAGAGGACTGCAATGCAGATGATAAAGGAATTGACCTTATGAAGAACACTTGAAAGAAAAGTTTGCTGTTTGGAGAACAAATACTTAGTAAGGAAACATGAGTGTTACTTCAACTGTCTGAAAGTCTACCATGCTAAAGGGTTAACCTACTATTGTGTAAAATTTAGAATTTATACCAATGGATTGAAACTGTCTTTGTTCGACGTAATGAATGGACCATCTTAAGAAGCAATGAAGTTCCTGTCACTTAATCATTCTAGCACCAGCTGGAAATTGATCATTGGTCAGGGATATTGTTAAAATAAGTCCTCTGTGAGGGGGGATATTAAAATAGATGGTCTTAAAGATCCTCTCCAGTTGTAAGATTTTGAGCTTCCAAGTTCAATTTCTAAAATTTATTTCCATTATAAAATCATGTATAGTTTTTGGGGGAAATGGTTTGTTTATGGGGAACATTAAATTATGCTTAAGAATGAGTAAATCTTTAAAATTAAGAACATTTGAAGTGAGTTTCTTATAAATAGGATATACTTGAGTCATGGTTTTTGTTTTATATCCATTCTACCTATCTCTGTCTTTTAATTGGTATGCTTAGACCACTTACATGTACATTAATTATTGATATATTAGGACTTCAGTGTGACATATTATTATATGTTTTTTCTTTGTTAATTTTGCTTCTTGTTCTTCTGTTTCCATATATTACCTTCCTTTGGGTTACTTGAACATTCTTTAGAACTTCATTTTGATTTATCTATAGTGTTTTTTAAAAATATATGTCTTTGTATAGTTACTTCAGTGGTTACTGTAGGTGTATTAGTTCGTTCTCATGCTGCTATGAAGAAATACCAGAGACTGGGTAATTTATAAAGGAAAGAGGTTTAATTGACTCACAGTTCCACATGGCTGGGGAGGACTCAGGAAACTTTCAATCATGGCAGAAGGCAAAAGAGAAGCAGGCACCTTCTTAACAGGGTGGCAGGACGGAGTGAGTGCAAGTAGGGGAAATGCCAGATACCAACACTTATAAAACCATCAGCTCTTCTGAGACTCACTCATAAACACAAGAACAGCATGGGGGAAACTGTCTCCATAATTGAATCACCTCCACCTGGTCTGGCCCTTGACATGTGAGGATTATGGGGATTACAATTCAAGGTGAGATTTGGGTGGGGACACAGAGCCAAACCATATCAATAGGAATTACAATATACATATTAACATCACATTCTACTACCATGGATATTTTCAACCATTTCCAGTAAGTTGTAGAAATCTTACTTCCATTTAGGTTTATTTACCTGCCTCACTTTTAATACAAATGTTTTAAGTATTTCCTCTATATATACTAAGCATCACATCAGATGACATAATAGTTTCTGCTTCAGCCATCAAACATCATTTTAAAAACTCATAAGGAGGATGATCTATTATATTTACCCCTATATTTACTCTTTCCAATTGTACTTTTTCCTTCCTGAAGTGCCATCATCTTTCTGTTATTTCTGTTTAGGAAACTTCCTTCTGCCATTCTTTAAGCGTAGATCTGTTATTCGCAAATTCTCTTAATCTTCTTTCATCTGAAAATATCTTTATTTCCATTTCATCCTTAAAAGATGTATTCATGGATATAGAATTTGTAGCCCCATCTGTTGTCCTAGCTACTCCAGAGCTTGAGGCAGGAGGATCGCTTGAGCCCAGGAGTTCAAGGCTGCCATGAGCTATGACCACACCACTGCACTGCAGTCTGGGCAACAGAGTGAGTCCCTTTCTCTAAAAAATTATTTAATTGTGTTTGGCAGCAGGTGGAAAAGTGGACTACCGATCAGCCATGCTCCACACCATCTCCTTCAGTTTCCTCGATGCTCAGTTTTGTCTTTTTTTACATGATCATGTAGGACAATTGCCCAATCAGTGTATATGAATCTACTGCGTTCCTTAAACAGTTAACGTAGGATACCATAGAGATGATCAAGTGTGACGGTGAACAGGTATTTTGAGAGTTCTTAAATACCCACGTCAATCTTTGTTGTGAAAATTGGGATGGGGTCGGTTGAACCTACTTCTTGCGGATAGTTTTTCAAAAGTCATGACCATAACGAAGTGTGAGCAATTCCCCGCTTTATTAAACAGTCTGAAAAAGCGCTACTGGGTTTTGATTGGTTTACGTTTAATAAAGATTGAATGAAACCACGAAAGGGCTTTTAAGCACACTGGCAAAAAAAGAAAAAAAAAAAAGCCATAAACAAGAGCAAATGAAAACCCGCGACAACGTTGTATGGATCAAGAAAACTGCTGAAAAAGGGAAGGACAACGGGGAAATTCGCCAAGAAAGAGATATACGTGACCAGCAAATATAGCAGAAAGGGAAAAATGCACGCGTATGGGTTTGGTGGCACTCTGTAGCGCAGAATTACTGCACTATGCGCATTAAAGAGGAATGCGAATTAAAGGAAGGTCTTGGCTGGCAGGTTTTCGGGAGAGACCGTGGGAGAAGGGGGGTGATATGAACAGGCACAGGTTTCTGCATGTGCTTTCTGTACAGAATCAGCTTAGCGGTCGAGACTGTCCTCTTCCACTTCTGCTCCACCCTAGGAGACAGTGTCCCAGGGATCCCTGGCAGCTCCTGCCTTGGGAGGCGCCCGGAAAGAGGCAGGGCTTTGTGGGCGGGACCGGACGGTGGGCGGAGCAGAGACTGCAGGGCTTGTCTGGTGGGCGGGGCCACTGCGCGGACGGCCTCTCTGCCGGGGGCGGGGCTAAGCTAGGAGCGGAGCTAGGCTAGTGGGCGGGGCCTGCAGTGAGGAGGTGTGGAGGGGGCGGAGCTGTGCGGGCTCGTGGAGGAGGGGCCGAGGCGGAGCCAGGCTTGGTCTGGGGAACCCGAGGGCGGGGCGAGGGCGGGGCGAGAGCGGGGGCGGGGCGGACGGGGCTCTCCCGGCGGCCGACGGGGCACGCTAGTGTTGGGGTCCCGCCGCCGTGAGGATCGAGCTCGTGCGGGTCGGTCAGTCGTCGGGGCCTGCGCTGGGCCCGGGCCCATGGCGGCGTCGGCGGCTCTGTCTGCGGCAGCGGCGGCGGCGGCCCTGTCTGGCCTGGCGGTGCGTCTGTCACGCTCAGCGGCCGCCCGAGGCTCGTACAGCGCCTTCTGCAAGGGGCTTACGCGCACGCTGCTCACCTTCTTCGACCTGGCCTGGCGGCTGCGCATGAACTTCCCCTACTTCTACATCGTGGCCTCAGTGATGCTCAACGTCCGCCTGCAAGTGCGTATCGAGTGAGCACCGGCGGCGGTGGCGGAGGGCCGGCTGGAGGGGCGCCCGTGTCCCCGCCCGCCCCCGGCCGCCGGGTCGCCGGCATGAAGGACAGCTGGATCGCGGCGGGGGGCGGAGGCGGGGCGGCCCGGGCCCCTGGACTCTAGACCTCCGCCGCCCAAGCACGAAGGCCCAGCCCTGGCCCGGCCGCGGTCTCAGTCCGGAGACCCCGGATCGCGCAGAAACGCACTGAACAGGCCCCTACCATCGGGCTCCAGAAACTACCTGGGCTCGGCCTACCTGTTGCCTCACATTGGCCAAAGAGGGGGAAACCAGAAGGAGGGAATTGCTGCGGCGACTTGACTTTCCAGGCCCCGAGCAGAAAGGTAGGAGGCGACAGGTTGGAATGGGGGAGGGGCGGTGGCTCTGCCCTCCAGAGGTCGGGGCGCCTTGGCGGTCGGGGGGAAATATGGAAGGCACCGGGGCAAACCAGCCCAAAGAGCTGTGGAGCCCAGCTGGGGAAAGGAAAGGCAGCCTCAGGTTCTCCCCTCCTCTCCAGTCATCATTCCAGGATAGGGTGAGGGGCGGCCCCCTCCCGCCCACTTCCCAGTCTGGGGAATGGAGGGTAATGGGCTGGAGGTGGCCCCGGGAAGGCCCTAGAGGAGCAACGATGTCCCCACCCCTCTCCTTCCCCCCAGTCGGTGGGCATAGGGCGGATGGTTCTCTTCTAGGCCGAGCCCCACGTCTGTTCTCTTCTCAGCCCTCAGCCCTGGGGCTCTCTGCAGCTCCTGCACAGCCCTTGGCAAAACTGCCTCCTGCCCTGTCTTTGGGACCAGAGGACTGGTCTCTGCCTGCTCCTGCTGTCCCTCGTGTTCCCCTGCCCCTACCTGAGGGCACCCCGCAAGCCCTGTATTTGGAGACAGGGAAGAGTGGGAGAGACGCATTCCTACCGTCCCCTCCCCCACAGTCTTGCTCTTCCGCCATGTCAGCCCATGCTCCCTAAGGCCCCTAGCTAGCAAGGCCCTCCCAGGGCCAGAGTCGCATCCTCCAGCCCCAGACGGCCTCTAGAAGCCTACTGTGTACTGAAGTGATCTGGGCAAAGGAGACCTCCCTGAGCACACAGCAGCTCTCAGCCTGGGGTGAGCAGAGCAGATGGAGGAGGGGCTTGCAGAGGAGGCCATTCCTGGGGGAAGCAAGGACGTGTCTGGTGGCCAGGCAACTGAGGTCCCCATCTCTTTCTTTCTCTTTCAGGCATTGGCGTTTGTTGGCGGTGACCTGCCCCTTCTTTGGCCTTGCCAAGAGTCTCATCCCTGCCTGGGGGCACCTCTGGCCCTGGACCTGCTTGGGCAGAGGCAGCGTGAAGGACCTGAACAACAGAAGAAGGGCCTTCCTAGTAGAGGCACAGCATGGACAAAGGCTCACGGGGTGGGGGTGCCCAGGGATCGAGTCCTGGCTTGGGAAGGAAGGTCTGAGTTCCCTGGGAACTGAGATCTGCTGGCAGCACTGTGAGAGGTGTATTTCCCCCTTCTAATGACAGAGGAAACTGAGGCTTCGGGGAGGTGGGGGGTTGCCCTTGACACGCAGATAGGAGGAGGAGGAACTGCGTGTGCCCCTGGGCCTGCAGGCCCCCACACCCCTCCCCAGTCTTCTCCAAGACCTGGCATGGTGGGAGGAGGGAAGGGGAAGTGGAGAGGGAAGCATAGGGCTCCTGGGGCACCAAGGGAGAAAGGGGCCTAGGGGTATGGAATCTGGGGATCTCACTTTCTTTGGAGCAGTACCGAAGGTCACAGGGAAGATCAGGAGGACAGACAGCTGAGATGGGAGACAGAAGAGATGGGCCCCAGGACCCTTGGGGAGCCAAGCTCTCCCCCACAGCCTAACCTCCCCACCCCACCTGGAGCTTCACCAAGGGCTCCTCAGCAGTGCAGTGGCACAAGCCTCCCAGTTTGGTGGGCAAGTGGGGGTGATCTTGGTGTTGTGGCTCCTGGAGACACACATAACCAGGAGGGTGAAAGGATAAACTTGGGGTGTGCTGGGGCTGAGACCCATGGCATGACCCCAATTCTCTCTCCTCAAGTTCGACCCCCCATGACCAGGACCACACAGGAGAATCTCATCTCACGGCTTGGATTGGTCCTGGGGGCCCCCGGGTGTGCTGCTAGCCGGTGTACAATGGTCAGGAGCAGCCCAGAGGGGAGCCAGGAAGAGACCCTCGCCCTCACCCTCTTTCCCCATTTTCCCATCTCTTGCACTGGTACCCCGAGGGCCACGTTCTCAGTTCCTGGGACTGAAAACTGCAGCAGTCTGGCCAGCTCCAGGGACAGAGTGGCCCAGCCACCTACCATGTACCCTCCTCAGCTGCCCACTGGACCCAGGTCCTGAATGAAGCCGGCTGCCTGCCTCACCCCAGAAGAGGCTGGACAGTGGCTGCCTCGTGCCCCCTGCAGTCTCCCACAGCCAGGGCCCGATGGCGTGCCTCCTAGTCCTAAGTTTCCTGAGAACCCCTGACCCTGCTGGCCTTTCATCCCCCGCAACCCTGTCCACCCTGGACCACCTCTGGGGACCCGTCAGCCTGCTGGTCCTCCCAACAGATCTCTGGGGGCAGCCTCTGTGGGTCAAGAGTGACACGGGGCTGGAGGAGAAGAGGAGTGAGGGGTCTCCTTGTGTCTGATGCACAGATGTGGCCCTTTCAAGCCCTGGTGTCACCCTCTGCGTGACTGGATCCCCAGCTCCACCCTCTTCCTGGGCCAGCCAGGAAGGATGGAGGAAAGCTCTTTGCTGATTGCATGTGTGGGAGTGTGGGGGGTGACTGAGCCCTCCCCATGCAAGGGGCTCGGCCTGGGACCCTGGAACCTGCTTCCCTACTGGGAGAAATGTGCATCAGAGCTGCAGGGGTCCCTACCCTCAGAGACCCCCGACTGCAGGGAGCCCCACCCCATAAGAGGGGCATGGAAATCCATGTCCTCCCCCACCTCGCCGCCCCGTGGCTTCTGCCGTGGCTGTATTGGCCTAGAGGGGCTGGCTGGGGAGGAGCAGGGCTGAGCCCCTCAGCATCTGCTCCTGTCCCTGCCTTTTCACGCCTGCTGCTTGAAGTGGTAGCTCCACCTGCTGCTGCTCCACCTCCCCTCCCCACCTCTTCTCTCCCCGACGGGGCCCTTGCTGCGTGATGGGGTCTCCATGCACTTTATTTATTTGCAGTCTGTTTGCCAGGCGGTGGAGCTTCTAGACACCGACCGGAATGACACACTTTTCTGTGCGTGATTCACTGTGTACTGGTCAGCACAGGCTGGCCGGAGACATGTTCTTGTTTCTGGTGTTGTCACGTCTTCTTGTTTTCTCTAAGTTAAAAAAGAAAAAAAAAAAGTCCTTGGTTTAATACACTAAAATCCCAACTGGAGGCCTCCCGTGTCTGGTGGGGGTGATGCAGTGGCCCCGGGTGGAGAGAGGCCCCATGGTGAGGTCACCGGCTCCCATGGCCAGGGAGAAGCCTCTGAAAGGTAGGGGTGGGGGAGGCTGTAGCAGGGACCGTGTTTCCTGTTCAGAGGCTGTGCTGAGGACTGACTTGACCCAGACCACTGCCCCATGAGAAGAAGGCAGCAGCCTGAGCTGGCCCCAAGAGGTGGCTGCTTATCCTGTTGACAGCCTCTGTTCACCCACCGGGCCCCGGGTGAGAGGCATCCTGAGGACACAGGGCTATGCTCAGACTCAGGAGTGCAGTCTGGGTTTAGGGGCCCTGGGGGCACCCCTGTTGCCAAGGGCTACCCAGGGGCCACAGCACCCTGACAAGGAGGACCCCTCCAAAAGCACTGGTGCCAACACCTTATGGCATCTGCTGCCGCAGGAGAAATGGACCCCAGTCCCTGAACTTCCCTCCCCTTTGTCGAGATGGTCCTCTTCAGTCCCTGATGGTCCCATCCCCACTCCAGGGATCACATGACTTGGCAAACCAAGATGGGGTTGGAGCATGGCTCCAAGGCCTCCTGAAGAGGGAGGACCACCCCTCCCATCCCTGCTACAGAGGAAGGGAAAGCAGGAAGGCCGGTTCTGCTCAAATGGGACCCCAGGAGACCAAAGCCCTGAGCTGTAAGTCCAGGTCTTCCACTTCCTACTGTGTGGTGCCAGGCAAACTGCACAACCTGGAGTTTTTAGTAAGGTTCCTTTGGGGTGCTTGTCAGCAGTGAATACAATGTCTGTTCAATGTTTGTCATCAGGTCTCACCTGGAGCAGCCTTTTTAATGTGGGGAAAGGGAACCAAGTGAAGGGAACGGACATCTGATGAGAGCCTGCCATGTACCAGGCACCATTCTAGGTGCTTTGCATTCCTAATCTCATCATAACTACCTAACCGTTATCTCCATTTTACAGAGAAATTGAGGATAAGAACCAAGTCTGAAATAGAACCCCAAGCAGAATCTCTTTTCCTGAGCTCCCAATGCCCACTGGAGAGGCAGGGAATTGGGCTGGAGTAGTGGTGGAATGGAATAGCAAAGGTGGAAGATGACCCTGTTCTTTCTGGGTGGGGTCCAGGAGGCAGATAAGAAATCCAAGTGTGGCCGGGTGCAGTGGCTCATGCCTGTAATGCCAGCACTTTGGGAGGCCAAGGTGGGCGGATCACAAGGTCAGGAGTCAAGACCAGCCTGACCAACATGGTGAAACCCCGTCTCTACTAAAAATGCAAAAATTAGCTTGGCATGGTGGCGCACGCCTGTAGTCCCAGCTACTTGGGTGGCTGAGGCAGGAGAATTGCTTGAACCTGGGAGGCAGAGGTTGCAGTGAGCCAAGATCTGGACAACAGAGTGAGACTCCATCTCAAAAAAAAAAAAAAAAAAAGAAAAAAAAAGAAAGAAAGAAAGAAAAGAAAAGAAATCCAGGGCTTGGATGGGGGACAGACTTGGGAGCCTTCTCCAAATGGAGCTCCCCAATGGGAGCAGCTGGGGCCACCCTAAGATGGGTTCACCTGTCTTTTCTCTATCCTCCCTCCAGAGATTGATTGAAACATAAGAGACTGAGTCAGGAGAGGGCAAGAGAGCAGCTAAGTGGGCGGTTCCGGGGGCGCCAGAGCAAATACAATGAGAAATGGGAAATATAAAGAGCATGCAAAACCTCATCCTACTCCTTTTCACTCCACCCACAAGGGAAACTGCTGCATTTGGACAAATTTCTACTTCGTGTTGGTGGAGGGAAGGAGAAAGAACATACTACTTTGAAAACTTCTCCTCCCACTTCATCTTTATCTTTCCATGTTATTAGGTATTTTTCTATATCCAAAGTCACCTAGTAGTCTCTTGTATGAAGGTATCATGCATTTCTGAATGCCTCTTGGTTATTTCCCTTTATTGTTTATTTGGGGAGTTTGGTTTCTTGGTTGTTTGGTTTTTTTCTGTGGTTTTGTTGTTATAAACATTCCAGTAACAGATAAGTTGGACCTCATCAAAATTAAAAACTTTGGTGCATAAGAAGTCACTATCAGGACAGTGAAAACACACCCTACAGAGTGGGAGCAAATATTTTAAAACATATATCTGATAAGAGATTTGTATCCAGAAATATAAAAAGAACTCTAGCTACTCAATAAAGAAAGACAGACAACCCAATCAAAATATGGGCAAAGAGTTTTAATACACATTTTTCCAAAGAAGGGATACATATGGCCACCAAGCACATAAAGATGCTCAACGTCATTAGTCATTAGGGAAATGCAAATCAAAACCACAATGAGCTACCACTTCACCCTCACCCACTTCACTCATTAGGATACTTATTTATTTATTTATTTATTTATTTAGAGACAGCATCTTGCAATGCCCAGGCTGGAGAGCAGTGACACAATCTAAGCTCACTGCAACCTCTGCCTCCTAGGTTCAAGTGATTCTCATGCCTCAGCCTCCCAAGTAGCTGGGATTACAGACGTGGCCACCACACCTGGCTAATTTTTGAATTTTTTGTAGAGACGGGTTTCGTCATGTTGGTCAGGCTGGTCTCAAACTCCTGGCCTCAAGTGATCAACCCTCCTCACCCTCCTAAAGTGCTGGAATTACAGGTGTGAGTCACCATGCACAGCTCAACTTTAAAAAAAAATTTAAAACAGCAAGTGTTGGTGAGGATGTGGAGAAATTGGAACCCTTGTTCATTACTAATGGGCATGTAAACTGGTACAGCAGCCACTGTGGAAAACTGGTGGTTCCTCAAATAGTTAAACCTAGAATTATTCTATAGCTCAGCACTTCCACTCCTAGGTACATACTCAAAGGACTGAAAGCTGGTGCTGAAACATGAATTTTCATAGCAGCACTGTTTACAATAGCTAGAAGGTGGAAACAACCCAAATGTCTATCAGTCTGTCAACTGATAAATGAATAAACAAAACTTGGTATATTTATACACTGGAATATTATTCAGCCCCAAAATAATCCCACAATGAAGTATTTGACACATATTACAAGGTGGATAAACTTTGAAAATATTATGCTAAGTGAAAGAAATCAGACACGAAAGATTACAAATTTTATGATTCCATTTATATGAAATGTCTAGAATATGTAAATTCATAGAGACAGAAAGCAGATTAGTGGCTGCCATGGTCTAGGGGAAGGAAGGATGGAGAGTGACTGCTTAATGAGTACAGGGTCTCCTTTTAGGGAGGTGAAAATGTTTTGGAACTAACTGGTGATGGTTACACAACATTGTGAATGTACTAAATGCCACTGAATTATACATTTCAAAATGGTTGATTTTATGTTATGTGGATTTCAACTCAATAATGAAAACAAAATTTGCTGACACATTTTATTATCTCACCACTGGGCCTCTTCCATAGATGAACTTCTCTCCTGCCCTTTCATTCAATCCCCTGCAGCCCTTGTCCTGCCCCTGTGGTATAAAAAGCTTAGAAAAGTAGCCCCATCCCATTAGTTCCCAAGCAATCCTAGCCCTCAACTCCTTCCCCATTAGGGTGGCTCAGAGAGTGGGAATCTCTAGCAAACAATGGGATCATTGAGGACTGATCTGGCCATATTCCTCAACTGCCTGACCAGTGGAGAACAGCACAGACTTCTTGACTCTTCCTCCTGGCCTCCTGTTTTTGAAAAAAAGAACATTCCCCTCCCATCCTGGCTGACTCGCCCATACTGCCTTTAGTCTGGGCTCCTGGCTGTAACCCTGGGGCCTTCTCCTTGGACATGGATGTCTTGGCCTTGTAATTATATTGGATGCCACAAACACATGAATGCCTGACCCTCTGGACACAACCCTACATCATCTCACATTCCCAGTTCCTCCCAGGAAGAGGATCAAGTGACAAGCAGACCCCAGGCAGCAGAGACCAGCCGAGGCGGCTCAGTCACTTGGCACAATGTTTAAATATGACATTGATGGAGAGCAGACATTGAGTCTGTATTAGTCTATTCCTACACTGATACGAAGAAGTACCCAAGACTGGGTAATTTATAAAGAAAAAGTGTTTACTTGACTCACAGTTCTGCATGGCTGGGGAGGCCTCAAGAAATTTACAATGATCATGGAAGGGGAAGCAAACACATCCTTCTTCACAAGGTGGCAGGAAAGAGAAGTGCCAAGTAAAGGGGGAAAAACCCTTTATAAAACCATCAGATCTCATGAGAACTGACTCATTACCATGAGAACAGCATGGGGTAACCAAGCCCATGATTCAATTACCTCCCACTGGGTCCTTTCCACCACATATGGGGATTGTGGGAACTATAATTCAAGATGAGATTTGGGTGGGGACACAGCCAAACCATATCATTTCACCCCTGGCCCCTCCCAAATCTCATGTCCTCACATTTCAAAACACAATTATGCCTTTCCAACAGTCCCCCAAAGGCTTAGCTCATTCCAGCATTAACCCAAAAGTCCAAATCCAAAGTCTCATCTGAGACAAGGCAGTTCCCTTCTACATAAGGGCCTGTAAAATTGAAAGCAAGTTAGTTGCTTCCTAGATTCGATGTGGGTACAGGCATTGGGTAAATACACCCATTCTAAATAGGAGAAATCAGCCAAAACAAAGGGACCACAGGCCCCATGCAAGTCCGAAATCCAATAGGCCAGTCATTAAGCCTTAAACTTCCAAAATTATCCCCTTTGACTCCATGTCTCATATCCAGGCCTTGGGCAGCTCTGCCCTTGTGGCTTTGCAGGGTACAACCCCCCTCCCAGCTGCTTTCACAGGCTGGCATTGAGCATCTGTGGCTTTTCCAGGCACACAGTACAAGCTGTTGGTGGATCTGCCATTCTGGGGTCTGAAGTCTGGAGGATGGTGGCCTGCTTCTCACAGGTCCACTAGGCAGTGCCCCAGTGGTGACTCTGTGTGGCAGCTCCAATTCCACATTTCCCTTCTGCACTGCCCTGGCAGAGGTTCTCCATGAGGGCTCTGCCCCTGCAGCAAACTTTTCTGACTGTACATCCAGGCATTTCCATACATCCTCTGAAATCAAGATGGAGATTCCCAAACCTCAATTAATCACTTCTGTGCACCCACAGTCTCAACACCACGTGAAAGTCACCAAGGCTTGGAGCTTGCACCCTCTGAACCAATGGCCTGAGCTGCACCTTGGCCTCTTTTAGCCACAGCTGGAGCTGAAGCACCTGGGACACAGGACACTATGTCCTGAGGCTGCACAGAGCAGGGGGACCCTGTTCCTGGCCCAGGAAACCATTGATCCCTCCTAGGCCTCCAGGCCTATGATGGGAGGGGCTGCCATGAAGGTCTCTCACATGCCCTGGAGGCATTTTCCCCATTGTCTTGGTGATTAACATTCAGCTCCTCACTACTTATGCAAATTTCTTCAACAGGCTTGAATTTCTCCTCAGAAAATGGGTTTTTCCTTTCTGTCACATCATCAGGCTGTAAATTTTCTAAATTTTTATGCTCTGCTTGCTCTTGAACACTTTGCCGTCTAGAAATTTCTTCCACCAAATACCCTAAATCATCTCTCTCAAGCTCAAAGTTCCACAGATCTCTAGGGCAGGGGCACAATGCTGCCAATCTCTTGGAATAGCAAGAGTGACCTTTACTAGTTTCCAACAAGCTCCTCATCTCCATCTGAGACCACCTCAGCCTGGATTTCATTGTCCATATCACTATCAGCATTTTGGTCAAAGCAATTCAACAAGCCTCTGGGAAGTTCCAAACTTTCCCACATTCTCTTGTCTTCTTCTGAGCCCTAGAAACTGTTCCAGCCTCTTCCTGTTACCCAGTTCCAGACTCACTTCCACATTTTCAGGTATCTTTATAACAGCACCTCACTACTCCTGGTACAAACTTACTGTGTTAGTCCATTCTCACACTGCTATGAAGAAATACCTGAGTCTGGGTAATTTATAAACAAAAGAGGTTTAATTGACTCACAGTTCCTCATGGCTGGGGAGGCCTCAGGAAACTTACAATCATGGTAGAAGGGGAAGCAAACACATCCTTCTTCACATGGTGGCAGGAGAAAGAAGTGCAGTACAAAGGGGGAAAAGCACCCTATAAAACCATCAGATCTCATGAGAACTTACTGTCATGAGAACAGCATGGAGATAACCATCCCCATGATTCAATTACCTCCCACTGGGTCCCTTCCACAACATGTGTGGATTATGGGAACTATAATTCAAGATGAGATTTAGATGGGGACACAGCCAAACCATATCAGAGTCCCACAAGTGGGGTGACCAGACCCTCAGAGTTTCAGCAGGACCAACAGGCTGGAACTTCCAAGGGTTTGCTCTCTGGGCCCTGAAACTGGGAGACAGTCTTGCTACAGGCTGTACCCTATTGGCTCTCCTCCTGCTGCCATGCTGACTGTGGCAAACACACCAGTCGCTGTTGCCATCTGTTCCAACTTGGCCACCTGGAACAAGGCTGAACCTTGGGCCCTCTCCCAGTTTGACAGAGCAGTCCCCAAGGCCTTCTGAGTCTAGACTGACTCATGCCCTGCCACTAGCCATTTCTTGGAAGGCTCCCTCTGTGGCGGCCATGACAGCACTTCCTCTTCCTGGCCACCAGAATCCATCTGTAAAAACTGTGGCTGCTTTTCCACTCAAGACACCCCTTCCCACAGATATCAGGGGTTCACTCATTAATGAAACCTTCCTTCTTTCCCCCCACATACACTAATTCATGCCACAATCCCCCACCACCTGTAAAAATCAGAAGGCCTTCATGCTCCAGGAAAGGCCTTCAGGACACCTTGAAAATGGACTCATGGCTCATTCTCTAGCCCCTCTCCATGTCTGATACTATGGTGGGCACCAGGCACAGATTCCCTGTGGGCAGTTAGAGGAGGAGCTCACAGGAACATGTAAGTGCAGAGTAGGAGCCAGGGTGTGAGTGAGGGCTCAACTAACAGGAATGTGATGCTCCTCACCACCACCAAGGAAGTAATCTAGGATATGGGTGATGTCGTCAAATCAGAAAAACTGGGCCACCCAGACCAGCAGAGCAGCAAGATGGCCTTCCCAGTTCCCAGAGACTGCCACCAAAGGATTTCATTTTTCAAATCATGCATGTTAAAAAGAAATATCAGGGTACATGCAGCATGAATCCCACTGGACACACCAGACACAGCTGGAAGGTGATTTCATTAATACTACGAAAGTGCTCTCAAAGAAGTTTTCCTGGAATGTCTTTTCTAAAGGCCTTTCCAAGTGAACACCATGGCAAACCTAAGCACTGGTTACAGCAGTTTTTGCTCAGATGTGATGCAAAGCCTCACCCCAGACCCTTGGTTGTATTTCCCATACTTCTCTTTCCACTTCCCTTTTCTACGGGCTTTTGCCCATGGAAATGCAGAGAGCAGAGGCCAGCCTGGGAGCTCAAAGGCTGGCTTGGGGGTTCAGCTTCTGGCTCATCAGCCCTGGGAACATGGGCATGTCACTGTGCCCCTCTGCACCTGCATCCCTCTCTGCCCCATGGGCACAGCAGTTCATGAAGTGGAAGCAACGTTCACAGTGTCTGTCAACATTTGAAACTGACAGACTCATCTCTCTTCCATTGCCTAGTTTCTCACTTTCTATGACTTTTCCTGGTGACAGCAACTCTCCACATACACGCCACCTGGGAATGACTGTGGGTTTAATGTCAAATTTAATAAAATGTCAGATCATACTACCCCGGGAATCACAGCAAAATGGTTAAAGTTGAGGCTCTGCAGCTTCACACTGACACCTACTTCCTTCACTCCCTTCCTGTGCCCCACGACCTTGTAGCCTTTCTTTTCCCCTTATCAAAGCCTGTGATGCAGTGATGACTGTGTCTCTTGCTGAAAGCCTTAGCAACACCCTCCCAAGGGCTTTCAGATATAGTTCAAGGAAGTGGCCAACAGATGGCGCTATTCTCATTAGCGCAAGCCAGGGGAGCTGAGAAAAGAGGCATTTCACCAAGCAGCTTTGACAAAATTAGCTTTCTGTAATTGAATAGCCCATAAGAATGAGATAAATAGGTTTTCAAAAGTTATAGGAGGTGTACGATCTTAAGCAAATAAGAACCTCTGAGGTGGTTATGTTCTTTTAATTCCTAACACACTACAACAGAGATTTGCAAACGGTACTGGAGACTCCGATACCCAGATAAGTCACAACGGCCTTCTCAGAACACTGATAAACACTGGGAGACAGTTCAGCCCCCTGTTTTACATTAGGCACCATGTGGTTCAAGCAGGTTTTGGAGGGAGAAACCAGAAACCAGTTGGGCTTAAATCCTGGCTTTACAGGTTATGAGCTGGGTGACTTTGGCAGGTCCCTCATACTCCTGGCTTCACTTTCTTCATTTGTAAAATAATG